GTACAGCTGAAACTAATTCTAAAAAATGTGTATTTCATAATAAAAAATAATTAAAAGAAGAAAAAAAGAAATTTAAGTGGGCATGCTGTGTTTCATCTGGCACCCTGTTCACACAGGCGGCCCCCCTGGGATGAGGAGAGAAAGTTCTCTGGCCCTGAGCTGTGTTTGCCTTTCATGTCATCTTACAATTTGCTTCCCCTCTCGGCTGATCCCTTCAGACTCTGGTTGTGTGGATGGCCCCTGTCCTGTTTTGATATCTCTTTGGTCATCTCAAACAGGATCTGGAAAGGGGTAACTGAAAGTCCTGAGCTCCGATGTCCATCAGCCTAGAAGCCCACTGTCTCCGTGTTCCTCCCTGGCAGACCTGAGGCAGGGACCCAGGCCCTAAATTCCTGCCCTCAACCAAGCCAGCTACCCAATTTGTAGGCCACACACTGTCCTCCCTGAGCAAGCCCTCTCATGATCCAGCCTGGGCCGGGCACGGCCAGGCTCTGTGTGGCTCTTCTGGAGTGCCCAGCACACGTATGGGGCCGCGCCTCTCAGGACTGAGAGGGCATACCTCCTGGGCACACCTGGATGTGGAGTCCAGGACCTGTTCCACAGCACAACCTTTCCAGATGGATCAGGAACTACAGAGGTTTCACTGCAGCTCATTTGGAAGCCCCAGCAAGCGTAACTGTGGCTCTGTCCCTACCTTGGGCATAATTGCTCTTTGTTCTGCTCACCTTGTCACCCAGCCCTGAGTTGGCCCAAGCCAACTTCACCAAATGGCATCAATGTTCTTTGGGGTAGGAATGGACTTCCTCTCAGGGATTGGGCCTGATTGGTCCAAACATAATTCTATCTCAATTATGCCAGTCATTGATTGGCTCAGTAACCTCGTAATCTGGCCAGGTTTGGCCAATGAGAGAGGAGGAGGGGTTTGGTGGAAATTTCTGGAAAAGTTCTTCCTTGGCCCTTAACGAAGAGCACAGAAAATCTTTCTCTCTCTTACCTGATGGAGAGGAGGAGGAGGAATGACAGCTCGATCACTACCAGCTGCCATTCCACAGTCACACGGGGCAGGGAAAAGGCAAGAAACCAGCCTTAAGATGAAGCGGAGCCGAGAGAAGGGGAAAAGCAAGTCCATGGTGATATCGCCAACACGCTAACCGGAAGCCTGCCCTGCCTTGGGACCTCCCAGTGTGAGTAGTACATTTCTTCAGGGTTTAATGAGCCAGAAACTTGCAGCCAAAAGGATCCTAATTGATACAGCCTTCTAAGCCTTCTCTTCTATAATCCCCATGAGAAGGCCAGGAAACCAATAAGAGAAAAAGAAATGCTGTTCTCTGGTCGTGATGATGTCGAGCAAATCAGACACCGACTGTGCGGGCCAGAATCCAAACAGCATCTCCAACGTGCTCAATGACCCGGAGCAGGCCCCTGGTACCTCCAAGCCTGGGGTAATAACGTCGTTCCCATGCACCCCTCCACCCCACCCCACCCCACCCACAGGGTCTGCTCACCTCCTCTGGGGTGGAGAAGAGCAAGTAGCTGGCCCCTTGGCTGTCGATCCCGCTGTCCTTCATGCTGTCCTCGGCACAGGCTGAATTCTGACCGGCCGCTGCGGCGGGGCCCGCGGCACCGCTGTGCTTCTGCGGCCCGGCCTGCAGGAGACTGGCCTTCCACTCCTCAGATAGGTTCTGCCACAGGTGGGAGACAGCCGCAGAGACGATGGGGAGCGACACGTCCTGAGAGGACACAATCCCATTCCCGACCAGAAGGTCCATCGTGTGCTTATAAAAGTTGAGATACCTGGAACAGAAACGACACTATCTCCCAGACCTGAAGCTAGTGGCCTAAGGGCCCTCCGGAAGCCGTTTCCTCGGGAGGCCGTTTGTGGGGTGGTGGGCTCCACATAGGCCCGGCCACAGCACTGTGCTGCACCGGGCGCTCAGCCTTACGAGTCTCTGCGTGCCCCTGACCCTGGCGAAGCGGAAACCGTGTTGGGGGCCATGGATGACAGATCTGTGCTTTAAGGTCCTTCCCCAAGTCCCCCAGTGCATCCTGGGAAGCTCTCTGCCCAGCAGAAGAGAAGATGAGAGGCATGGCTGGCTCAGCTCTCATCCCACAGGAAAATTGCTTAAAATTCTAAGCTCATTAATGAACGGGAATGGTCTGCTTTAATTGGAGGCCCCAAATCCAGGCTCAGTGGAATGGGCCTCCTTTTACTAAGCCGACACTCCAGAAGCCAATGCGACTGCCAAGGGGCTTGAGTCTGTGGAGGGGCATTGAGTGGCAGTGGGAGTCTGGGCGAGCCATTCGTCATCTTACTATAAGACCAGGAATGCTGCCAAAAACAGACTTGTGGGGTGTGTGAGTGTGTGTGTGTGTGTGTGTGGGGGGGGCTTTAGCCCTCATAGTTCCCATCAATTAGCCCCCGCCAAGGCACCCCAATTAAACACCCAGTCTAGGTAAACGCACTGTACGTTACATGCTCTGCAAGCGTAGCCTGAAGACTACTTAGCCCTTCTGCCAGCCCCAACCCCAAACCCATCCTGCAGGGAAATTCTGGAGCTTCCGTGACTTAGGGCCTGGCCGGAGAGCACACTGAGGCTGCCGCCTGTCCCCACTAGGGCCTCTGTCCCCTTCTCCACAGGAGCTCCAGCCGTGCACAAAACCACCTGTCTCGGCTATTCACACCGTTCAAATTCCATGAGGTCTGGTGACAAGGTGACTGCGGGGTGTAGGAGTTCCATTTTTTTCTCCTGCTGCTGCTCCTCTTCCTCCTCCTCCCCCTCCTCCTCCTCCTCCTCCTCCTCTTCCCCCTCTTTGTGGTCTTCCGCCTCTTCCTCTTCTTCCTCCTCAGCGTTGTCCCCGCCTGCCTCCATGGAGCCCCAGTTGGCAAAGCCTTTCTGATGAACCTTATTTGAGGCCTGGCTATGGGGAAAAGAGAAACAAAACCTACAGGTTAATGCCCCTCGTGAACACGGACATGAAAACTGTTAATACAATTTTAATACACACACACACACACACACACAAAAGGGTGGAAAGTTCGCAAACTTAATTGTCTGACGTGTGTGTGTGTGTGTGTGTGTGTGTGTGTGTTCCCAAAGAACTTACAAACATGACTATAGCTAAGAAGGGAATTGAGCAAGATTGAAGAAAACAATAAACAAAAATCAATAGTATTTCTATATACTAGCAACGAGCAATTGGAAATTTAAAAAGTACTATTTATAATACAATAACGCCAAAAAACATGAACTACTAGGTGTCCACCAAAAGCTCAGTCTATAAAAGAAAAAAATGATTCAGTTGGACTTCATCAAAATTTTAAAATTCTGCTCTTCAAAACACACATTTAAGAGGATGAAACAAACATGACACAATTTGGAAAACCAGGACTTATCCCCAGAATCTCTTTGTACTGATAGGAATAATCCCCAAAGTTTCATGTTAAGTTAAAAAGCAAGTGAGCCAGAGAAAACATAGGAGGATTCTTCTTTTTAAAAAAAATCTCAGAGCAGAGGAAGCCTAAGTATTCCCCCAAACTCAGATACCATAACAGGCTGACAGATTAAACTTCATTTTTGCATGGCCAAAAACCAAACCAAAAACATCAAAAGCAAAATAATCAATGACCAAGAGGAAATTGTTTGCAAGTCAAATACTAGAAAGGAGCTAGTTTTTTGGCATATATAAAGAGCTTCTACAGTTAAATAAGAAAAAGATACCAACCCAAGAGGAAAAATGGGCAAAGAATAGGTACAAAAAGCTCCTAAGAAGGGAAATACAAATGATCTTGAAACAAAGACATTTAAGCTCGCTCATAATTTAATTAACTTATTATAATATAACTAGTCTTATGCTGGCATCACAGGTGTATTATTTGTAGGTGTATAATCATTGTATTGTAGGTGTATATTTTTTTGTAGGTATATAATATTACTAGTGAAAAATCCCCCTGAATTATTATGACTGTAAAAGAAATGTAGCCATTCTCATGTGGGCAAGTGATACAGATATTGATCAGACTTTAGTATGTGCTAAAGTTTGTATCTTAGACCAATAAGGAAAGGGTGGCTTATGTGATAAATAGGGTAGGGATTACTGGCTAACTCCTTGAGAACCGTCAATGAAGACTCCGACCTCACTGAGACCATCTCCCAGGCTGATTTCAAGGTGAGGCCCAGGCTGATTTGTAAAATTCGGCTACAGACACCGTTAGGTTCATATGTACACAACACACACGCACACCACCTGCCTCCCATCTTCTGTGACCAAAATGGTGTATGGAGTGTGACTGTAGGTGACCATGGCCTTTTTACTCTTTTCTGTATTCTCACTTTGTCTACAATATGAATTGTTTTTTTAAAGGATTTTATTGGGGAACAGTGTGTTCTTCCAGGACCCATCAGCTCCAAGTCAAGTCGTTGTCTTCAGTCTAGTTGTGGAGGGCGCAGCTCTGTGGCCCATGTGGGGATTGAACCAGCAACCTTGGTGTTATGAGCCTGTGCTCTAACCACCTGAGCTAACTGGCCGTCCCAATGTGAATTTAATTGAATAATTTATCATTCCCCCTTGATGATTTCCCCTTAGAATATAACACACATTCATCGTTTAAAAAATTGGGGAAATACAGAAAAGCACAGAGAAGGAAATAAAAGTCATCAGTAACCCCACCCAGAGCGAATGAAGCATCCCTTTGTCTAGGCAGGCTTTGGGTAGTTTCTAAATAGCAAGCAGTTTGTGGTCCAATTTTCAGAGTGAGTAAAATGGCTTATACTGCTGTGTCTCATCAGAGGCCAAACTGTGCTAGACCTACCCTGGGGCCACCAGAGCTAGGACCCTCAGGTCCAGCCATTGCCTCTGATGTCCAGGCTGCTGTGCAGGATAAAGACATGGTGTATGGGGCTCTATCATCCTCTGAGAGCACAACAAAGAATTGACCCACACACTACACATAAAAAGCCCAGATGGCATAGGAATTAAACAGAGAAAACGAGATCATAAAAGTACAAGAAAGATGTTTCTCAGCCTGTCTTTCAGAGCGTGAGTGTGACATTGCAAACGAGGGTCCTCTTTCAGCATCTGTGCCACCTGTGTAAGCTATGGTTTCCTTGCCTCTCTGAAGTCCAATTTGGCTTTTCTCAGGCTCCTGTGAAGCTTGGAAAGCAGGCTGAGATTTCGATTTTCCTTATTTTCATATGCGTCCTTCAATAAGGCCATTAGTAGAGTTTTTTTTTAAAGCTATACTACAATATGAACAATATGAATATACTACAATATGAAATACAATATACTACAATGAGAACTAGGATCTCATTTCTCTATAAAATAATATGCAGACTTAAAAAAAATAAACCTTGAAGAATGTGCTTTGAAATCAGCGTTAGTGTCCCTTGAGAAGTGAAGCAATTTGTATTTCTAGTTTCTTTTTTGGGCTCTTCTGCATCTTTGACATGTTCTGTAGTAAGCATGGACTTTTATAATCCAAAGGGGAAAAAAAATCCAACGCATGTTATTAGACTAAAATAGAAAAGAACCCTTTCCAGCACAAGAGAGCTCTAAATGGGTGGGCTGCACCACTTCATTTGTTCTGCATTTCGGAGGGGAAGGGGAGCTGCTGTGACATAGCAGAGCAGGAAAAGCCCAGCATATGCCATTCTCCTGGTTGCTGGGGGTTCTTACCTGGGCGTTCTGGAGTACATCCTGGCATATTCTTCCCTGACCGCCTCTAAGCTGTTTGCATTCCCATCCTCCAGGTTGAAGGATTCTGTTGGGAGTAAAGGTCGGGGTCACAGAAGGGAAAGCCAGGCCTTGGTGGAGAGTCTCCCCTCCCCCTGAGCCCACCCCACTTCAGTGTTAGGGAGTCAAGAGTCCAGTTTCACCCCTCTTTCCAGATGTGAGGAAGAGCACAAGACTGGGGGGAAGGGCTTCTTGGACTGGCCCATCTCAATCAAAACATTGAAAGTATCCCTTTTGGAGTTGAGCTTCCATCGGTTTATTAGATTATATTTCACCAGCAGCCATCTCTCCCAAAACGAGTGCGACACGGGAGTCAGGTCCTGACAAACACTGACCCACTTCTTCTCTGGCCTGTCAAGGTGAGATCAGGTACCCTTCAACAGCACCCCCGTAGGATCTCATCACACTCTCACAGCCTGGTGACTTCCATCTGTCCTGCAGGCCGGCAGGGACTGACGACAGGCCAGGAATCTCGTCACAGCCCTGGCTCAAGCACAGTGCCTGGCGCACAGTAGGCACTCAGTAACTACCCCTTCACTTGGTTTAACCCAATCTCTCTGTTCTCAACAGAAAAACCAGCCGGGCTTTCCCGGGGAGGGCGATGGGGATGGTGGGTAGGACCTATTACCTTTCATCTTCAGCAGATTATCCAAAGTTTGTTCCAGCTCCTGAATATGAGTCTTTGCCTTATTCAAAACCTGCCACTGAGGAAGAGACAGATGATACTTAAAAAGATAATACTGGCCTCCCACTGCAGAGACTGGTTTTGCGGGCACAGGAGCCCCTTTCCAGGTCTGAGGCTGTGTTTTCTCAGCTGACTGATTCCAGCAGGAGGGAGAGAGAAGGCTGTGGAGCCTGGCAGCGAGCAGAGTGAGAGCAGCAGCACACACGGCACAGTGGTGTGCCCATAGCTGATCGCTGACCCACCCAGGCCAGTCCCCACTTTGCTCCATGGTCCCTCCACATGTGGAAACTTTTCCTCCCCACACTCAGGTCCCCATACCTTTGAGGCTGTGAGATCAGACTGGGAGTAGACAGTTTCCCTGAGGTTTCTGAAGAGCCCTGACATGGTGGCTCGGTGGCGGGCCTGGGACAGGCGTCTGCGGGCCACGTGGGGCTCCAGCTCCTGCAGCTGTGCCAGGGGCCTGGATGTCGCTCTGTCACAGGGGTTGCTGCCTTCTCCAGAGGCCGCCATGATAAGCTGCAATGTAATATTATGCTTTCTTTTGTCCCTAAATAATAAAGATACACTATTAAAGAAAAAAAAAAACGAAGGCAGATTGAAACAGGAAGAAAGGGGGTACCACTCCCAAGTGAAAGGTCCCAAACCAATGAATAGCATCAATAACAGATACACAATTAACAACAGATTACACAAAATCTGTTATTTAAGCTCAGCTCCTAAAAACACAAGTTGCTCATAGTCGACTTACAGGGCTCTGTTGCTTTCCACCAGGAAGTTTCCAGAACATTGTAGGTACTCACCAGACACTTGTTAAGTGACTGCTGTGGCCAAAGAGAGCAAGACATACACTGAGATCTTATTCTTTACAGCTGAACAGGTAGGTGTTTCACCCTTTGAGATATTTCCTATAGCAAGAATGCACCCCACTTTGATCTGAGTACACAGTGGTTACACAGGAGTATAGATATGAATAAAAATACATCAAGGTGCAAAAAAGAAGAGAATGCACTCTTCGACCTATGAAAGCAAAAAGTCACATGGCAATAGAGAAGTAGAAGTGGGTTTGCCTTGTCCAACTTCTAGTGGGTTCTGAAGATGATCGTTACGTTGTACTTTGTTAATTTTTTTAGCTGTATAAAGGAGATGAAAAAGTCTCTAAGTAGATTACAGTGTAAACATTTCTGCCTCTATAAGGTCATTGTGATCATTCTCTGACTATCTGGAGAAGGGCAAGCAGTATAAGTGCTCGTATTCTGACAGCAGCAGAGCATGGAGAACATAGCAGCTTGGGAAGCTGCATCTCAAGGAATTCTGGGGACTGAAGCACCATGGACAGTTTCCTGGGCACTTTCTCTGTACCAAGCTCATTCATTCTGCAGGAAATCAGGGCCAAAAATAATATTAGGCATTGCAGAACAGCCATAGCTCGGACAAATTTTTGCTTTTGAAAACTTACGGCCTATTCATCAGATCAGCTTGCTAAGCATAACCTTTAGTCTAACACAGTTTGAAGACTGCTTCATTGGTGCATTCTCCTGAAAAGGCATTTTGTGAAGATTCATACTGTCATGTCATATTTTTATTAATTCTCATCTATAAAGCAAAGCATATTTTTATTACCAAATACTTTCCCATTAAAACCCTTTATACCCGCTTAAAAGCTAACATTTAAAAAACTCCCTAGACTAAATTTTAAAAAAATAATAAGGTTCAGAGAAACTTTCAGTCATTTTTAAGCATACTCCACAACACGTTCGAGTGTGATTCCTTCTCATTAGCAAACCCTAGGCAAACACATACAATACACTGGGTGATGTTTTGCAACCCGCAGGCAGCTTGCTTTGATTCCTTGTGCTTATTGGATCATGTGAAAAAATCCAAAATTATTCTCAGAAATATGGAGGCCGTCACAATGACATATACAAATGCTCACATTAGTCTGGTTCGGTTGCACCGGCTTGAATCAATTCGCATGTACATCAATACCCACATGCTCAAGCGCTGTTTAGTCAGTACTCACACTTAGAGGGATGGACACCAATGCACACGACGTCCCCACTCCCCGAACACGCTGAAGGCTGACTGAAGCCCTGATAGTAGTGACAGTGGTGCTAGCTATGACAGGAGTAATAGGCCTCGCCTCACCTCAGCCTGAGGGGGTAGGTACCTTGGCTTCTGCCCGGGGCAAAAGACAGACCTAGCACCTCAGGCAGGGACCAATCACGGCCTGTTACTGGCCCCCACAGCCAATGGGGATGCACGGTGATGGGCCAATGAAAATGCGGGCAGTGGAAGAAACAATGTGACTGGGAGTCTGAGACGATACAGAGAGGTGAGGAGAACTGAAGCAGGAGGGAGGCTGACCTTCTCACCTTGCTGGGTGGTTTACCCCTTTTCAAGTGGACCCCGAGTGGGGCAGGGAGGCGACATCTGTGTGTCACCTCAGTGCCCCACATGGCTTGTATGTGCCCACACACGACTAAATGGATGTCCTCTAATGGGTTCCACTCATTTGCCATTGAGTCCTGCTTTTATCAGACGGGGCTGTGTCACCTTTTAGGGTTATCCTGAGGCTTAGAGGAAACTCTTAAATAAAGAGTCTAGGGCACAGGCTCTGGGTCTCAGAGGAAAAGATGAAAACATGTAGATAGCATGGAAATCAAGAGACACATAAAACCAGGGACGGGGGGTGATATTTTCAATAAGGGAAGAAGAAATGGAAATGGGGAAGGAGAGGGGGGGTTTCTGGAAGTGGCATGCAGTCGGCACTCCTGAAATTCAACTTGGGATTTTGGTGGCATGTTAAATTAAATGATGTGTTATGTATAAAGTAACTGTCACCCAGAGAGTGTGCAGTAAGAGTCAATTCTCCTCTCCCTTTTAAGGTAAATGTAAAATGATCATTTCACGGCAAAATTCTGCCTAGGTCAAGGCCCTGTTCCTTTTGGCCCTCAGGCAGGCCTTTGACCCAGGGTCTCCAATCTCTCCCCTGGCCTGCTCCTTGCCTCGCATCTCTAGCCCCACCGCAGCATTCCTGGGACCCCATAGAAGTAGGGGGTATTCAGGAGCCGTACCTTTGCACCAAGAGGACATACAGAGGTTTAGAAATGGACCTGGCCAGACTTTCATCTGGTCACCCCGTACCCCACCTCTCAACCAGCACACCAAATACACCTGCCTCCCTGGACCCGTCTCATTGGGGAGCAGATTTCTACCTAGAGGCAACCCCGTCTTGGGGTGGGATGTTAATAAAAGGCTTCCTTAACGGCAGCAGCCTGATTTCTTTATTTAAAATGAAGAATTTTTGTCTACTTTAGTCAAACTTCTCCACAGCTAGGGGGCAGAAGGCTCTGCTCATGAACTTCTTGGGGAACTTGAAACCTCCTGGTGGCCTCTCTCCAGCTTTGGATACAATCCAAGTTCTCCCTAGCAACATCCAATCACAAACCATCACCTTTTGACCTGGACCCCTCCCTCCCAAGAGAACAGGTCCTGAAATACCCACCTCATAGTAACATAGATCCTACTCTGAAATACTCCTCATAGTAACATAGATCCTACTCTGAAATACTCCTCATAGTAACAATAGATCCTGCCCTGAAATACCTCCTCATAGTATCACAGATCCTGTCCTGGAATACCCCTCATAGTAACAGAGGTTCTGTCCTGAAATACCCCATATCTTAACAGAGATCCTGCCTTCAAAACTCCCCCCATAGTAACAGAGATCCTGTCCTGAAATACTCTACATAATATCATAGATCCTTTCCTAAAATACCACCCAGAGTAGCACAGATCCTACTCTGAAATACTTCCCTCATAGTAACAGATCTTGTCCTGAAATACCTACCTCAGAGTACTAGAGATTCTATGCTGAAATACCCCCTCACAGTAACATAGATCCTGCCCTGAAATACCTCCTCACAGTAACATGGATCCTGTCCTGAAATACTCTCTCATAGTAACATAGATCCTTCCCTAAAATACCCCCTCGTTGTGACAGAGATCCTGCCCTGAAATACCCCTCATTGTAACAGAAATCCTGTCCTAAAACACCTCCCTCACAGTAACAGAGATCCCTTGTGCATATGCCCCCGCAGTAACATGACCATGGGTCAGGCGGGTTCAGTTCTTCAAATCAAATCATTGGTCAACTCCCTGATTAATTTCCTTTATAAAATTAATTTTAATTACTCAAATAATACACATTCCCCTGGTAAAAATGAAAACCTTTTCAGCCTACCCTGGTCTTCTCTTCACCTTTATAGAACCAACGACTGTTATTAGTTTGGCATGAATGTTCCCAGATTCTTTGCTAGACACTTACATACACCTTCGGGTAGCTTTCCCTTGTTCCTAGTTTTGTTTTGTTCGTTTTTGGAGGAAAAAAATTTACAAAAGAGTGTCACTCTACAGCTTGCTGTTTTCACTCAACAGAGTGAGTTGGAGATGCAGTCATATTTGTGCGTAGAGATCTACCTTATTTATTTCTGCTGCTGCACAATAGTCCACATACTAGACAACTATAAAGGAATGGACAATTCATTTGAAAATGAAGAAATCTTTGGCAAGGTGTAGTAGTCAGGGTTCTCCAGAGAATCAGAATAATAATAATTAGAAAAAAATA